CTATTTATTCTAATATACAGTGACGGCTACTGGTCTTGGTAAGTCATGGCATACGGACTAATCGAGATGGAAAAAAAAACATATGTCCCCATTTGCAAAAAAAAAAAACCGAATTCTTAGTTAGATACTTTTATCTTCAAGCATTTGTTTCTAAACGTTTAAAAACATGTACCCCTGCAAGTATAGAATGGATCACAATGTAAATAGTTAAATATACACACACAGGACAGTTTTGAGGGGAGATGGTAATAACTGCGCCAAAACGACCCTTTTTCTATAAGCTGATTTTGTCTATGGTGTGCACATACAAATAGTCAATAGGAGTAAAGGTGTAAACAATTTAAATTCAAAAACAATTTTGAAGTATGAAATTGAAAAATATTATTATTCAACTAAAGTTAAAAATTATTTTACAACTAACATAGGATCATACTGTCTGAGAAAATTAAAAATTGAAATAATAATACAATTATTGTTTACAATTTTAATCTAATTTATTTAATATTTTGTTATTTATTCTTAAAACATACTTTTTTCAATAAATCTTGAAATCTGTTTATCTTTTCTTTTTTTTTTAATCACTTTTAGTTAATAAATTTGTATTTTTGCGTTGTTAGTTTACTTCGTTGTTGTATTACACATTCTTCTGCACTTTTAATTTTTATTTATGTGCCAACTTGAACATCCTGTCTAGCATCTATATATTATATATATATCTGTACCTATACTATACTAGTATATGTCATCGTATCGGTATGTATTAAGTATAGTATACCGGTTCTGCGTGGTTTCATAAATTGTCTAAATCTAAATGTAGAATATACTAGATTTATACAGAATAATATTTTCAAATATAATTACTTGAAAAAAAAACACTTACAAACTAACCGTTTTTAAATATTATTCGAATAACTTTTAATTGAATAACGTGTTACCTAAATGATTATTTAGATAACGTTTTGTACACAGTACACAACATAGAGGAAAAACAAACAGTAAATGTCTTACAGTAATAGTGGAAGCTAAAATTAATTAGGACTATGGAGATGAATTAATAGAGATAGTGGATTAGAGATACTAGGTGACAGAACAATATATGTGTGGATACATACCAAGGACACGTTTAATATTGGCAAACATTGTAACAAAAATTTGCAGTCACATGATTCATACAAATTAAAAAAATATATATTTGAGACAAATGGCTGCCTTGTTACCGAAGAGTTATTAATTAATATTTAATAGTTTGCATTTATATTAAAAAAAAATTACCTGACGTTATTAATTACCGGATGGCCCAGATAAATCTCAATAGAGTTTACTATACATTCTCCATTGTGTGCCATCGAGACTTGATTATTATACTATAGTCTATAATTATTAACACCTTATGTAATCGGATAGTGTGTTATGAACCATAATTCTTAACTCCATTCTATTGGAGTGCTTATAATGAGGGCCTAATTGGGCAAACGTCGTTCGTGCAGTCAACTCTGCCGTTTTCGCAAAACGAGTATAATGTAAAAGTATTAAAAAAAAAAACAAGTTACATCAGAGTATACAGATGTAGAGAAAAAAAAATAGAAAGGACCCGTGACGATAATCAATTAACCATAACGGCTAAAACACATGCTAAAGGAGCTATTCGTTAAAGTTTATTACTATAATGTCATATTAATATCAGGTATAATATGATGATGTATACCTTGTCTGTGTGCATGTACAAAACATCTGAACATCTGCCTCGAGGAAACGTCTATTAGGTATAAACTGGTGTCTGTAATTTTTTTTAAATACATTTTATTACACTACAAATACAACACTGAAAATGATCTACACGACAGCTCGAGTTGGCCGCAAAACAACACAATATTTATTTTTAAAAAAAACACACATTATTTTCAAACTGACCCGAGTAGTCCGTGAATCATTATTATGCTATATACCTATATAGATCCGAGAGATCCACATTACAAGGTGATCCATTCCAACACGGATAGTGATTTCAAAACACATACTTTATACCATATTTTAGGTTTAAAAAAATTCAAAATTCTGCTTGTAAACGAACACTGACATCAAAAATGAATAACTTAAAAATTTTAATAATTATTTTCTGGAAAAATTAGTGTCTCTTGAATTAATCTCTCCATATACGGTTAAACAAAGATCTAGATAAAGTTATCTGTAAAAAAAAAAATATCTTAACAACAGATAAGTATTTTTATCAAACAATTTAGTTTCATTAATAAAGTGAGATATTTTTCTGTTAATACAATGCTCACAATTGTTTTTTCGCTTAAGAAATAAGTCAAGCAGGCAACTGTGTAAATATACCAGCACCAAATTAGAAAATATTCAAGTATATTTTTTTGTATTGTACTACATTTCTGGACTTGGTAAGTTTCCAAAAGCTAAGTCTAATATTTGTTTTCCATTTTATCATCTTTTTTTTTTTGGGGCATATACAGAAAAAATCACTGTCTTTAAAACTGCAATAATTGTTATACGTAACATACTATATCTATTGCTGTTTTTTTTTTAACCAAACTATAATTTAGATACATTTGTTTACCCTCGGCACATAACTAGTGTGTTGTAATGTATAAAAACCTATGTGGAGTGTGTAAATATAATAAAAAAAGAACAGCTCTATTGCCGTTTCCCTGCGGGCGTTACACAAACATAGTCAAACGCTTCGGCCAGTTATATGTGTACATACGGTTAATAATTAATTATCTTTGTACAAATTATAATACATGTATTTTATATTCGGTCGTTTTTCATTTGCGCTGACTTGTGCACATCATATAACTATAATAATATTTTCTTAAGACGTTAACAAAACGTGGCGCTCGGTCCAAGCAAGTATATATATAGCCCATTAGGGCGAAGACTATCCGGCGAACAATCATTTTAATCGACACCGGGTTTGTGTTTGGTGTAGTTAATTAATCCGCATTAAAAAATCGTTTATAACACCCGTGCAGCTCGGTGGTTCCGTTTAGTATAGATAAAGGCACACATAAAGACCTCAATGAAATCCAAAAAGAGCATAGGAAAAAAAAACTATAGCCAGTCAATGTCTTTGAGGATTAAAATTATATAAATTAGTATAAATATAGGTATACTGTATAAATATAGGTCATATTATTATGTAAACCGTCCATGGAGAATTTGTGATAGTTATAGTAATATTATTTTCTATTTAAAAAGTGGTTCCTGTGCAATGGTCATTGTTTGTCATACATAATATAGGTGATAATAATATTATGTAACGCAGATACGGTTTTTGACAAGAAAACCCACACGCTCCATAAAATATGATTTCAATATAATATTTAAAAAAAAAAACACATTAAGCGTATAATGCCTAGAGCTATATTTTTCTATACATATATTATTATAATTAAACGTTCAATATTAATGCATGCGGTGTTTAGTTTTATAAAAATATATGCTTATATTAGGGAATATAAATTACCTTTAATTATGTTACCGACGCAAAAACGTTTTACTTGAAAACGTTTACCTTAATTTAAATCTCAAAAACTGTTAAAATATAAAACGTTTAGTAAATATTTGAATTTAAAAATATTTTAACTAGCCGTTTTGAAAATTTCAACATCATGACATTTTTTTATTACTTTCTTGATTAAAAAAAAAATAAACAAAAAAAATGACACTAACGGTGAGAAGATAGACAATATATATTTTGTCTTAGCTCTAAATAATATACCTACTTGTAATAAAATGGTTTAAATTTGAAAAAGTCTGAGTGTTACATATCTTATATAAACGTTTAAAATTCAATTATTCAATTAAATTACAAGATATTGTTATGGTCGATTCTAAGCTCCTTATAAAAAAAAACTTTTTTAAAAAGATACAACATACGAATTGAATAAGTTACAAATAAATTATTTAGGTTTTTACAAGTAAAAATAAAAATTGTCAAATTTTTTTCTTTAGCCACGCTGATCCAGGACACCGACGAACGGATTTTTTTTATTTATAGGATCTTATTGCAACCACCTTGACACGAAGAAGTGCACTGAAGAGTTTTAGACCTGATCTAATATATAGTTTGTTCACTGCATAGCTTTACTAAGTTGTATGCCATAAAAATACACTTTTTCCTCCCCTCTAAATGTTCATTCTTTATGAATTAATCGCTTAATAATAAAATATATTATATCTATATACTTTAAATAATTCTCAGAAAATTAAAAACCAAGAAAGTCAACATGCCAAGCGACTTTTGAGTGACATCTGCGCCTTAAGTCCGCACCCGAGCCATCTGGTGCGGCACGCTTATAATATAAAATATATTTTAATATAATACTACTTATATTATATTATTAGTACATATACACAAGGGGGTGGTATTAAAAAATGATTTTTGTCACAACTCCCTCGCGGGTATGAAATATATTTCCTATTAAGACCAAAGTTTTTCACGAGCGGCTCGATAAATTATTATTATTTCATTCCTTCGCCATTGCCAGCGCCCCTCAGTGTGTAAGTACTACATACATTTAAGGCGGTGAGCACACGTCATGTATTATGCAAAACGTCTTCTTCTTTTAGCGAACCGCCCTCTGTAACGTACTCGCAATTATATAGCTGATATGTCGGCGGCGACGGGGGACGACGGGAGGCGACGGGTGGCGACGGGTGGCGACGGAGGACGACGTTGGGCGAGCGGACACGAAGTGGCAAAGTGGTGAAGGCGACGGCGGCGGCGGCGGCGGCGGCACAGTGTGTGTGCGCGATGGGCGGGCGGGCGGGCGGGAGAGCGTGAAAAAAAAACAACAGCGACGGGCACACACATTATCGCCGTGTATTTACGGCGCGGGGCCACGCCCCTGCCCCCGGTGGTCGGCGCGGGACACGCCCGCCGCCCGACGGGACGGCCTACCGGCACGGGCGACCGGCGTGCCCGTGACTTGCGCACTGCCCGGCCACCCGCTTCAGTCACACACACGGCTTACCTCGCAACGAACGTCGTCGTCGTCGTCGTCGTCGCACAGTCGGGCCGGTCCACACACACACACAGCACAGCCATTCACCGTCCGTTGCGCACACACCGCGGTAGTGGCTACAGCAGTACGATCCGTCTGTCCGACCGGTGTTTTATTTTTGTTCTTGAGTCGCGCGTTTAAGATGACGTCGGTAATAATCCGTTGCCGGTAAACCGCGAGTTATTGCAAAAAATATATATTATCTATCGAGAATTGTTTTGAATTTAGCAAAAAAAAAAAAAATATTAAACCTAACCGTTCGCGACCGAAAGCGATGATAATGGGCACGGCCAACCAGGAACAGCATCCGGCCAGCGCGATCAAAAAGCCCACGGACTTTTCGATCGACGCCATCATGCGCAAGGACGAAGCGGCCGCCGATCCGCGGCAAAACATGTTCGGTAAGTCTTGCACAATAAGCAACGCCGGTCCAAGTCTGATTATTAATCACATTTTTTTTTTTTTTTTAATTGACTTAAATCAGACGGCGAAGGTTCCACCGGCGGCGGCGCCGAAGAACTGGACGTGGACGTGGACGTGGTGGACACGTCGGAACCCGAAGACTTGGCCACCGCGTCCGCCGGTAACCGCGGCGGCGGCGGTGGCGGCGGTTACCATCACGGCCACAATAATCACAATCACCATCATCGTTCCTCCAAGCAGCAGCAGCAGCAAAACGGCCACGGCAAGAAAAAACGGACCAGGTGCTCCGAAACGACGGTGAGCGTGTCGTCCGAGGACGGCGGCGACCGGACGCCGCCTCCGCCGTCGTCCGCGGCGCACCGGCAGAGCCCGGACGGCCCGTCGGCCAAAAGCGTGTCGGCCATGCTGGCCAAATGCAACAGCCCCGACTTGGCGTCCACCGAATGCTACCTGGAGTCGGTGTCCAAGGAACTGTGGTCGAAATTCCACGAACTCGGCACCGAGATGATCATCACCAAAACCGGAAGGTGAGTTGCATTTGATTTGCATTTAAATCCGGATTTTTAACCCCAAAAAAAAAAGCTTAATAATATTTTCTACTCGACTTGTGTTTAAATTTTAAAATCCTGTACATTAAATTTATTTCATTTTTCGCAATAATATGAAAAACACACGACCAAAAGTGGACAGTAGGTCAAAAAAAATAAAACTCAACGATGTAACGGTTGTCTTGCTTACAAGTATGCCTAATACTCTTCTAAACCCTGTCTAAGATCTATATTGGAAGCCTAGAGATTCGTAGTGGAAACTTTGGGCACGCAGAAGTTTATTAAATGACAGTGAACAGTGCGTTTTCAAACATCTTTCGGTTTAAAAAAAAAATCACCGACCAGCCCTTGTTATCCGAATGGTTTTTGTCAAAATATCCGTGTGTAGCTGTGAATTTAATGTACACCGTTCGTGTAGTCTGTTAATTTCACGAAAAATCCGAGAATTCCATGTGAATTTCCAAGAATATCCGTGTGCAGTCTGTGAATTCAATGTAAACCGTTCGTGTAATTTGTGAATTTCCAAGAATATCCGCATGTAGCTGTGAATTCGATGTAAACCGTTCGTGTAGCTCTAAACTTCACGGAAAATCCGTAAATTTCCCGGGGATTCCCGCGAACATCCGTGTGTATTTTACTATTATCCGACTGCGTTAGTTTTTCACGAACATTCTGCGTTTTCGGACCGATCCAGGTCTCTAGGAAAACATCTCATAAACTCTAAGCATACCTACGACATTGTATTGAGGTACTTGCAAAAAAAAAAAAGGAAGAAAGAAATGTCCACCTCTGCCCTCGGTTATGGCATAGTGCACGCGCGAGTCCGCTACAATGTAGTTCCTAAAATAGCAATAGGGTTTTTAATTTTATTTTCCGATATGTACATAATATTATACATTATACTTACTATTTGCATTACTGGGAAACGCCAAAAAAAAAAAAAGGGTATAATTTATGCAATGCAAACACAATCGGCCGCGGTCGTTGGCCACATTGGCGAATATTATGTATGTGTACACACACAACAGTCGAAACGGTCGCGTTTATCCTTGACGATGGTGCATGGGTCGACACAAAGTCGATCAACGATTGCGTTTGTATGCCAATATAATGTTGTATAAAAAAAAAATGTTTTTATTTTTTATCTAAATCCGTCGATTACCGCCCACTCGCAACATTGAGCGCACAATGCCAATACAATACATTCGGTATATAGAATAATATAATATTGCTATAGAATAATAATAATTATTACTGTGCGCAGTGAGCACGCAAGCCATATAATTATTTCATACTCCCATAACGATAATAAGCCGTCGATAGCACTTTTTTGCATTCATTGTAGGACATACACAGATATTGTTATGTTTGTGTTATCTGCCGCACTGTATAGTGATTTGTTATCAGCTGCATGTGATTTTCCGTGGCTAATATTATATGTTATATTTTGGCTGTAGCTTATCGGCAGGATGATAATATTATTATTATTACTATACCTACAATCGTTTCTACCTCAATGGACGGTTTTTTTTTTTTATGAGAAAGAGTTGTTGTGAAAAGATAGCTGGTGTAAAGCTCGAGTCTTAACATATACTGAAACGTACCTAAGATACACTGGCTAGATGTATTTAAATTTGTTACCTAGGTACAACTTTTCGACCTATGGCAAAATAACACAGTTATTGTTTCGGTATAAAAAAATATACTATAATTATTATGATGATGATGGATGTATTTGATGTTTCGACAATAGGTTGTTAAAATAACACACAAAAAAATATATAATATTATATAGCATTGCGTGCGCGCCCATTTATGCCTACCGATAATAATAATACTATTGGTATTTCGGTTGTGTTGTGTTTAATGGGGTTTTATTGATTTTTTTCGCGACGGGCCCCACAGTGGCCAGCTATACACAGATATAATCATATGAACAATATACCTATATTTATTGCTATATCACTGCTGTTGTATGCTGGTCGATGACCAGCGAACGTTTTCAGCAAATCGTTCTCCAGACTTCAGATGGCCGGAAAGTCGTTGGTGGTTTTTCAAAGGGAAGGTTTCTGAAAATTTTGGCGACAACACCGATGATAAGGACAAGCCTTGGGTGCCTTGTATTATATGTAGGTACACAATAATATGATTACTATCACATTGTGTGTGTGTGTGCACTCCGCTGTAGGTCTCGACAACGACAACCAACAAGCACACCTAACCAACAATGATAGCAATATTATGATAAAACGCCCCGACGGATTGTGCGTGAGAAGTTAATAGTTCCTCGAATTCTTTTTTTGTGGGGGGGGGAGTGTAATATGTATGTTTTTTTATACAACCTAGAATAAAAACTGCTATCCGGATAGCATATTTTATCGCGGTGTGGCCCCGAGTATTATTATATTATAGGGGTATTACACGTACCTATATAATATTATTTATATGGTAGCTTGTGTGTATGTGTGTGTTTTGACGTTGTTAAAAGGCATATAATACAAGCGGCTATTGTCCCTTTTCTTCGCTTCTCCGGTGCTGCTCTCGGCCAGCAACACCAGAGTATAAAAACCACCACCACCACCACCACCACCACCACCACCGCACAATATAGGTATATATTATATTATTATACAATAATATTATACCCGGGGACCTCACACCGAGCATTAGGTGTATGTGTTACGTGTCTCGCGGTGCCATCTCGACGCAGTCGTTTATATTGTGGCTAAATACTTTGCTGTGTATGTGTGTTTGTCCGTCTGTGTTGTGTGGATATTATACGCATTAAATGTGTGTGTGTGTGTGTGTGTGTGTGTGTGTATACTAACTATGTAGCATACACACACACACACACAACACAAAAAAAAAACCGTGCACAATCCATTGTAAATAAACGAGGAGGAGTTTCTTTTCTCCTGCGCGAGCACAGCTCTTTCTATGTATAACACTATCCTTTATAGTATTCTTCTTCTTACTATTCTTATTATTGTAGATACACGTTATACGACCGTCGAATCACGCTGTGCCGAGTATTTTTAATTTTTCCGTATACATACATATATATATATATATATTTTTTTTTTTTAACACTCTAAACCTTTTGCTGACCGTGGGACGCACAGTCCCACCTACTGACCTCTTCTGGTATCCTTTTCGGTATATCCTTTCCGCACATAGATAGTGTAAAAAAAAAAAAAAAAAAATAGGACACCCGTTACAACTCTTTCGATCGTCGTCTAATCCGCAGGTATGTTATGACCGCCGACCTTAAGACCCATCGCGGTGGTGTAACCGTATTGTACATTACCCCTATGTATACATAAGGAAATAGCATCCCCTTGTGGGGGTGTGTATACAATCATATTATTGTTGTACGGCCGGGGAAGCGCAGGGGCGGTAGTTTGTCAGTCTTGTAAACGTGAAACATGGCACAATGATTGATAAATTACACCACCCTCCCCCATCCCTGATCCCCGGAGACTACACATACAAATGCACATACCGATCGCCAATGTAATATGCCTATAACAACAATAATATGTACACTTAATATAATATTTTATTATTCGTTTGCACATTAACCGCCCCGCACACAATCGCCGTATAAATAACAAGCGATAATTTTCTTTTCAAATCTTTTTGATAATAACACACATTTTATATGAAAAAAAAAAAAACATTATGTCATACCAGCATCGCCAACCAGTAGCAGACACACACAATACTAGGAAATTATTATACCATTGTCAATTATTGTGGACTGTTTGTTGTTCCAATCACTAAACACAGCACAACGATATTATTATAGTAACAGTCGTGACGACGGTTGAACTTGAGTTAAAAGTATTATCAAAAGATTTAATAAAAAAATATTAAATTACTTTCAACTATATTAAGTTAATTTTCATTCGTTAATAAATAATTCTTTACCTCTACAATTAACCCCGACGTTTCCGGGTAAAAGCTAGATAACTAAATAGTTAAACACATCACACGCTGAAACCATTTGGGACGTTTAGTTAAAAATTCAAGTCAAGTTCAACGTTTTAACGTAGCTATTTGTTTTTAACTCGTTAACAAATTAATTATAAAAACTCAACGGTTTTTAGTTTCTGGCCATAACTGGGTTATAAATAGAAATTAAATTGAAAAGTTCCAAAAGCACTTGTTATTTTGTTTCAGAAATGAAGCCAACGATTAGCCATTGGCAATTTCTGGGAATTAAAACGCGTTAGTAAACCAAAAATTAAGTTAAACACTAAGTTTAGGATTGCAAATTTTTCAACTAAACTGAACTAGTATAGCTAGTTATTTTTGATTTCTGATTTTCAGTATTTTGATTGGGGTCGTATACAGTTAATTTAACTTTTTTAACTGTGCAAATCTAGTGATTTTTTTAGCTTCAACGTTAGGTGATGTCGGTATAATGCGAGTTAGGGAAATCTTAACGAAACGGGTTAACCTTTTTTGGTTTTTTTTTATTTATTCAAATCGACGACGAAGGTCGGCCGGACCGTGGAAAATGCTATATTGTCCCAAAGTGAACACTACCGACTAAAACCTGTTGGGTATCGATTTCGTCCGGATGTCAAAGGTCTTCTAGCCCGTCATCGTGTAACGGCCTATAATAACATCATACAATATATAGAACAAATAAAATATATCATGTGTGCCATTTTTTTTTTTTGTCAGACTGACACATGTCAAACGCAATTTCGGTTTGTTATTCAAATATGGGATCTGCGGCGTGCATTTTGGTGAATATGTGGCTGAGGGGTAAAATCGAAAATGGAATTGTGTGTGGTGTGTGTGTGTGTGTGCAAAGGGACACGGCACAAGACCCCGTCGGTGGTCCCCCGATCGCACACGATATTATATTATACACACATACATACATATTATACAGCTGTTTGATAATGGACGTTTAATAGTTGATTTCTGTACACGTGTAGGTATTATATTATTTTTATATTATACAC